TATGATCAAGCTTAGATTTAAGTAATTAATACTTTTTTATATGAACGCGTTTACGAACGCAACTGAAAGTATTATGCGTTGGAATCCACCATGTTGATTTTGTGAATTTTAAATTGGATTGAGCACGTTTGCTGATGTTTATACTGGTGACCTTTTTTTACCGTCTGGAAAATAATATAGTGTAACATGTGAACAGAGTAGAAGCCTATGGTACTGATATTTAACAAAAATTTTAAATTATATAATGTAAAAATAATAAAATAAAATAAATAAATATAGCCTGTGAGCCTGCGAAGTGACAAGGTCAAAGATGCCTACTAAATTTATTGTTTTATTGCCGTTCGTAAAGTAGGGTGGATATGATTTGAATTTCGATAGATTTTACTTAATTTATTTATTTAATTCAAAATTTAATTTTTTGTAAAATATCAGTGCCATAGGATAGGCTCCGTTCACATGTTACACCATATTTTTTTCCAGACGGTAAAAAAGGTCCTCTAGTATATATGTATTATATGTTTTATTAGCAAAACTTAATATTTTTCGTCACGCGAGCTCCACCATCTGACAGTACCACATTTAAATATTCTTATTATTATTTACTAATTTTGACACATGAAGAAATTGTTAGCGTTTTTATCAGTAGAAATATTTTTTTGCCGTTGGTAAATTTGTAAAAATAAGTTATATATATTATTATTATATTTATATTATAATAAAATAGTAATTTTTTGATGATTTAAATATGGATGTTACCGCAGACTACTTAAAAGTTGTCATAACGGAAGCTCAGAATGGCGGTTGAAACAATAAAAGAAGGAAAATGGCTGCAACTTAAAATTAGCTAAAAATTATGAAATTTGTTATTCATTATAATATTACCCTATTGTTTTTTTATATTCGTCTCTCCTACTTATGTTTGTCTTTTATTTAAATGATTAAAGTTTTCCAAGGCGTCAGCGAATACGGAGTTTAAGACTGAATTCAATTCGAGCGCATAGTTGAGATTGTCGATGTGTATAGTTCTATTTATTGTTGTTTTTAATCACTTATGAAGTTTTCTTGTACATAACTAAAGATATGCATATTAATTTTGGAAGTTCTATAAATTATTGAATTGGGAAATATGCAGAGCAACGGATCCATTATTTTGTTATATTAATACGGAATATAAGAAGGATAATAACCTATGATGTTTATATATTCGCGCGTATAAATTATTGTACTAAAAATATATTTTATTTTAATTGATTTTATCAAAAAAAAAACTAAATACTCTGTTTTTATATTAAAGGTGAAATTTTGTGATGCTGATACGTAAAAGGAATGAAGCGACGAAATGGTGTATATAAAATTTTTTCATTGAAGCTAACAGAATTCACCTCCGCTGCTCTTTCTTATTTCTAGCCAATGATTTAAAAGTAAATGAAAAATCATCAATGGGAACTTCCAAACTTTGCTTTACCTCATTTTAAAATATAATTAACCATATAAAGTGTTGTAAATATCACAAAAATATCATGTAAAGATACGCGACGAAAATATAATATACGTTAGAAATTATTTACTGACAACATTGTGTAAGGAATAGTATTGAATTTTATACAAGATTAGATAGTACTATCTCTTCCTACTGTAAATCTAGTTTGTAATCATATGTGGAAATGCAATCGGATTAAGGTGATATTAGACAGTTCTTTGGTGAATCACTTCTAGTGAATAATTCATTCGCGTTAACCGATAAAAACATTACATAATAAATACACATACTAAATATTATATTCATTACATCCATTTAGATATTACATATTACGTTAGCGAATTAAATAAAGTAATAGTTTTTAAATAGTAAAAAAATAAGCTTAATACTTTGGTTGACCGACGGCCGAACGACGTACTTGTTAATTCAGCTCTCATTCGGAATGATTCATTGAAAAAGAAAAGAAAAAATAAACTGTGTAATGTCGCCTTTAATCAAGTGATACCAACCTAAAATCGCTCGATGCAAATGTTCAATGAACATTTTTGTGTCCATTAGAAACATTTCAGCACACCGTTAGTGTCTTGAACCATTTCATTATTACTAACATCTGACACACGACTATTTGCCTTGGCTGTGACAACCATTTTAATTATTTATTTTAGTCAATTATTTGCTTCACGAACTGACGATCATTCTATATTGTATTACACAAAATCGAATGAATCTGGTATTAAAAAGTAGATATAACCGATGATCACCGGATTTTCTTTATAGAAATCAATAGATTAAGGCAAACTTTTCCTATTTTCTTTTTCGACAACACTACATCCAAGGGAACTGGTTCATGACGCTACTGTGCTTTAGTGCGTGGACGGAGAAGCCAACCGACATGTTGCTCGGTAATAAATTGTCATGTGCTGACGAATGGTAATAAAATTTTAATAATATATGTATTGTTGTATTTTTTCTGTTCCACTTCCTCGTAGTAAGTAGGCAAATAGGCGTTAAAAATTATTTATTTTACTATAAAATCATAAGACATGTGTATAACAGGAATAAATCTCATTGCCTTTAAAACAACTAGTAGCACTTTAAAAACTATTATTTGAAACAACAAAAAAATCGATACCACAGTAAAACGTTTAATTTTAAAGAAATAAAAAAGCTATTTAAAATATCGAATTAACCTTTTGAGCGCCAAAGTCGTCTATACGTGACCAGCACCCGCGTGCCCTGAGCGCCAACGACGTCTATAGATGACAAAAAACCCGGCCCACAAAAATATGAAATATAGACATTGGAAAATTGTTACTGGTATTTTAATTCTACACCCCTCAAAAAAGAATAACCCAGCAACATGTGAGTATAAAAAACAAGTCTTCTAGAGCCACAAGTACTAAGAAACATTGAACTAAAAAAAATGGATTTTTATCTAAGCAAATACTATGTCCAGCACGCCAAAGTCGTCTATGTTAGACCGCTAGTGTTGTAATGCGTTAGCCATAAATTTATTGAAAACTATTCAAAATTAAGCTCAAACGTGTTATTTTTTTCTATTATTATTGATATTTAAATAAAACAAAAGGTTAGAAATATAAAACTATAATTAGCTACATGAATTAAAAAAAATTAACAAATTATCTTCGCATAATAAATCTAATATCTCAACTCTGGCGCATCCTTAGCGCGACATCGAAAATCAGTTCACTGGGCGCCGTGGTCAAGTATAGACGACACACTGATGACGTCATAAGCGATTAGCGGGAAAATTAGTGCAGTGCAACATGAACGATTCCTCAGAACTCATTCGGATTTTGGAAAGCGTCGACGATGATGAATTTTCGGAAATTTAAAATTATCGTGAAACCAAAGTTTTTCGTTTTCGATTAACTCTACCTCAATGAGGTAGGAATACACTTTATAGTCTTTTTACGGTTAATTTCTTTTTTTATAGCATAGGGTAATAAACGAGCACACAGTCCACCTGATGGTAAGTGGTTGCTGTGGCCCATAGACATTTACATCTATCCTCGATTACGAATCAAAATGCAGATGCGCTCTCACCCTTGTGGACTTAGATGGAATGCCTCGTTTCCAGTAAAGAGGGTCTCCGGTTCTCTACACTTACCATACGAAATACAGCAGCATTAAGCCACTATTTGATGCCGATATTCCGTGAGAGCGTGGTTCTTCCCCGGTTGAGCCGACCCATTCGTGCTACAACTACTCTCCCGTAATATAACTGCAGCATGGCTCTACCACGTTAGAAAATTTGCTTTGGCCAGCTAAACATTTATGTTTTATTATTCCATAAGATTTTTATTATTTTAAGACTAATATTACCTATAATTTATTAATATTTTTAATTGTTGTTTTCTATATTAAGTACTGATTGAGTTAAAGACCAAGATTTTAATATTTTATGACTAGACCTAGTGCAAATAATTATTTACAATTGTTGAATAATTATGTACCCTTTGTTGATTTCTGTAATAAGTACTGATTTTTTTATTCCATGACCAAGATTTTAATATTATAAGACTGATTTTTCTAGTGCGAATAATTACCTATATACAGTTGTTGATTAGTGAATAATTACGTACCTTTTCTATTTTAATAATATAAAATTACAAATAATAAATGTGTTTTCTTTACTTAAGGTATGAAGAGCAATTTTCATTTTGTGTTGTGCGATTTTCTTTCTCAATCTCAAAATCATTTAGCAACATCAGTATCATATGAAACCCCCTTTATCATAAGAGCATAAGACTTTTCTTCTGTGATTCACTTGGCCTACGCCTTGCCATAAAATATTTTGAATAGATGTCTGTATATTTTGGTTACATCGATTTTGAAATCGATACACAACGTGCGACACGGCTACATCTCTAAGAAAGTTTCAAAAAGAAAAGTCAGCTACGCCGTTGTCGTCCAGTCGTGACAGTGACGTCATCACGACGGAGAGTAGTGTTGTGGTTTACTACTATTTTATTGTTATTGTTTGTTTTTTATTTATGTACAAGGTACATATATAAAAAGAGTGGAAGACAGCACAAGATTAAATAAAACATATCCGATTATAAAGAATCATTTATTGTATAAAAAACCAACAAAAACAAGTTATTTTGTGTTATCGATATATCAACTCTTGGCAGCACTGTTTTTTTCGTAGGTATTTTTGTTTACTTTTCGCTTTGGCGTACAGGACACGGTAGTGAGTTTTTGGCGTGGCGCTCAAAAGGTTAAAATCATGTGCATCCTACTTTACAAGTATCGATTACTTGCTTCGAGTAGAAGAAGAAATTTGTAACATCCTTGACTGAACCGGTAGCTAGGTAAAAAATTTACTTCTACTTCAAAGCAGTGGTATTTATTTATAAACCAATGTAAAAATATATCAATGATAAAACAATAAAATTGAAAAATATCTATGCCATAGAATTCTACTTCGTTCGAAACACGAAAAAAGTCAACTAGCATTGAAACGAGAAAGCTTTCAAATGGATGTAAAACACTACTACTTCTTGGCAGTTTTCTTTTTCTTCACCACCCTGTACGGGCCGAGCTTCTGCCTCACCAGCAGGCCTCTCCACCAGGCCTGCACGACCACTGCAGCGTTAAACATGCGTTCACGATATTGGCGCGCTTTTTCGCGATCTTCTTTGAATTGCACCCATTCTTTCATTAGATTGGCGTGCTTCTTCAGCTGCAAAACAAGATTTTTTTTATTTCCATTTAGTCAAATTCCTGATTTGTCAGGTTCCCGCTTCGACAAGTTCTAACACACATTTTGATTTTTCCAATTCATCATCATCATCATTACAGCGCTTCACAAGTCCACTGCTGAACATAGGCCTCCCCCAAGGAATACCACAAAGCACGGTCCTGAGCCACCTGCATCCATTGACTTCCTGCATGTCTTACCAGGTCGTCACTCCATCTAGTGGGGGTCGCCCTACACTACGCCTATACCAGTGTGAGGCTGCCACTCGTGAACCTTTTTTCCCCATCGGTTATCGGTTCTTCGAGCTCTATGGCCGACCCATTACTTCACTTCACGGCACTTCAGCTTAGTAATCCGCTGGGTTATGTCGGTCACTCTGGTTCTACTCCGCATATCCTCATTTCTGAGTATCAGGCAGAGAAACCACGAGCATAGCCCTCCATAGCTCGCTGAGCGACCTTGAGCGTCCTCATACGGCCAGCAGTGAAGGACCACGTCTCAGATCCGTAAGTCATCACTGGCAACACGCACTGGTTGTACAATCTAGTTATCAGATTTTGAGGTATACCTGACGAGAAGATGTGTCGTAATTTCTCGAACGCTGCCCAGCCGAGTTGAATCAGTCGATTGACCTCTCGCTCGAAGTTGGACATACCTAGTCGGACTATTTGTCCCAGGTAAACGTACTCGTCAACAACTTCGAGCATAATGCTCCCAGCAACTACTGGCATAGGTGTGACATGGATATTAAACATGATCTTTGTTTTGTCCATGTTCATCTTAAGACCTATTTGTTGGGAGACACCATTGAGGTCATTGAGCATAGTGCTTAGGTCCTCCAGCGATTCTACCATAAGGACTATATCGTCGGTAAATTGAAAGTGAGTGATGTACTCGCCATTGATGTTACTACCGTATCCTTTTCAGTCCAGTAGCTTGAAAACGTCTTCCAATGTAGCGGTAAAGTATTTCGGGGATAAAACGTCACCCTGCCTTATACGTCTTTGCAGTTGGATAGGTTTCAAACTCTGGTTCTTTACTCGGATAGCCATCGTAGCCCTACTGTACAAACACTTCAGCACTTCGATATACCGACAGTCAACTTGGACCCCTGAAGGGACTGTAGCACCGCCGAAATTTCGACGGAATCAATGGCTTTCTCATAGTCCACATACGCCAGGCAAAGTGGCAGATTGTACTCTTCGGTCTTCTGTACAATCTGATTTTGATTTTTCAATTGCGTTCAACTAATTACCTGATCTATGCAGTGTTTAAGCTATTTTTGACTTCACGACTTGTTACGGGAGTTAGATTTTTATGTAATAAGACGCAGTACTACATTTTTATATTATCTTAAAAACATTTGTATATTAAAGTAATAAGGTCGATAATTGTTTGAGCAATTAAAATTCATTGAAAATCTTTTTTATACTGAGAAATACAAAAAAAAACTATTTTTGGCTTTACCTCATTTTTAGGATAATTATCCATAATTGTTTTAATATAAACTTAAAAAGTACTTACGTCAGTTAATCGAAATGCGTGAACAAATTATATGTTTTACGTAATATACTTATTGATGAAATATGTTTAAAAGTCGTTGCAGTATTCCGATTGGTTGGTCAGTTCTACGTTCTGTATGAACTGTCTGGCAAATTACTAAATTACTAACTCGTGGGGAAATGTCAAATGATATTTTATAGATGTGAATGTATAATTTAACATTAGAGACTAGTTAGCTTTGCTGCAATTGATGTTTTTAAAACACTATTAGATTAGCGAGTACTCGAAAGATTGTTCTACTCACAGAAATCTAAATATTGAGGCCATATTATTTAGATTTTTGTAGTTCTACCCCACCGTTAAGGGCTCGAATAACAAAGTCATACCGTCTCCTCGAGCTTCAACCTCTCTTCCAAGGTGTTTTCATAATCGGATCTCATTATTTGTATTTTCAAGTCCATAGCTTCCATATCCTTGTCGTATTTGTCCATCCAATTTTCTACCTTGTTCAGAGTTTCCTGCATTGACCAATTATACAGTAAATATAACTTGCTGAACAACCGCGTGGTATTTGTGGTTTGAATACCTAGATCGAAGGAGGGACATCGGGTTCCTTACCAAGCGCTAAGATTTGTGTAAACATAAGTATAGATTGTTGTGATTGTGATTTACACGTGGTAGAGCCACGCTGCAGCTATATTATGGTTATAGCTCGAATGGATCGGCTCCACCGGGGTAGGATCTCGCTCTCACAAAATACCAGCTTATTGCTGCTGTGTTTCGTATGGTTGAGTGTAGAGAACTGGAGGCTTTTTGAAGTGAAAACTTCTTTAGCGGCGTTGGACACTTTTTCTGTAATGGGTAAAAATTGTTAAACTCGCGTCAGGACGTGACCCTGATCGAAAATGAGTAAGACGGACGACGTAGGAGGGAAATATCCCCCTCTCTTTCTACTGCGCGCCGGCCTGCTGTTTCGTTTAGGCGGCGCAGGACGCTTGCGCGAATGTAATATTAATTGTCATGTTTTTGTACGATAGCGCAAATAATAAATATTGTATTCTACCACATAAATGATAGTACTTTTATACTGATAATTAAAGCAATTCGTGCAAAATTATTCCCTAACAATGGCAAAATATCAAAAATGCACAACGTTAATATTCAAATTTTCACTTCTGCCGGCACTCCCGGAGTGCGACCAGTAATTTTTACTAGAAACGAGATATTACATCTTAGTCCTCAGTGGTGACAACCAAAGGGGGAGACATATATCCACTTGCAATCAGGTAAGCTGTGTGTTATCTTTGTCACCCTTATTCTATAAAAGATATGTTTTGTTGTTTTATGTGCTTTGCTCTAACGTTCGCAATGTTCATTTGGTCAAGAGAAGGTCGGTCTACGGTCTGCACCGCTTCGATATATTGCACGAGTGTTACCGCCACGACAAAATAAATAATAGTACTTGCTTCCAGGGAACACAAAAATAAGTTTGTTTCCGTGATACAGTACACAGGCTACATTATAACGCAGTGATTATAATATAATCTTTGTGATACAGTTCTATGGATACGGCCAGGATCAACACGTGTGCGTGCCTCGCGTAAAGACTTCTTATATTCAAGCGAACACTACACATTAAATGAAACTAATTTTGCGGATTTAATAACAAAATTAAACGTGACACAATCCGTAAAATTAATTTCATTTAATGCCTCGCGATTTAAAAACCCCACAAATTTTGTGCGGTTTTTAAATAGTTATATCTGTGTTATTGATTGACAGCTCTCTGACGTAGTGGCTCAGTAATGATTTACGGTGTTGAAGGCCGCGGGTTCAAACCCCGCACTGAGCATATTATATGTATGACCTACAAATGGTTGTTCCGAGTTTGTATGTTTGTCCTTGTGCAATTTATGTAAGTAAACTGCCTCCATGATACAGGGAAAAATCATTGTGTGGGGTAACTTTTTTTTAAAGAAACAAAAAGTTAGCCTTCAATGTCAATGAAAAATTGTCGCCGTCGTTCAAATCCACCAGGAAAACATAAACTGATAAAAATAATAACTTAAAAGAAAATCGTTTATTATCTTACGTTAATAATAATATTGGTCAGCAGCTCAAACTCGCTGTGTACTCTCTGCTCGTGATCGATACGCATTTTGTAGGATTCGATGGTATTAGAGGCCGGCGACTCCTTGTCGGCTATGTTCTGTTGGTGTTGCTCCGTGCGAGAACGCTCCCAGTTCTCTACGTAGCGGGTTTGAATCTCCGTGTGTAAGGCTGCATCCTTAAACGAAAAAAAAAGTTAAAATAATCTAAAGCAAAACATTTTACGAATTGTATTTCCAGTCGTTTCAAAATTTACACAGTAAGTAACTCCATTCATCGCCGTGCACGTGATAAATCAGCAGGCAATACAATAACTTTATTTCAGGCATCAAGAACTTAAAATTTAAGAACATTAGCAATATATACCTTAACCTAAAAAATATACAAAACATAAACATAATTTTATTTTATTTAGAGAACTTTCTTCTTTGGCGCGTCCCTGTATCGGCGAAACACTACTCCAGAGGGCCAGAAATCGGGATCAGAAATGTCTCTTTATATTTTGAAGGAACCTGGAGTACGTAGGATTTGAAGTTTGTTGATCTATTAGATTCCAGACGCTGCAAATGTTAAAAGATCGGATCCTCTATGCGGCATCGGCTTCGTTCTTCCACGAAACGCAGGATGTCTTCTCCTTACGTGCATTTGTCTAAATGGGAGATGTAGATTGGCTGTGTAAGAATGTAATAAAGATGGTGATAGGACTGGCCACGTCCAACTGTGGACTGTTTACGAATTGGTGAGGATTTTTATTCTTCGCGTAATAAAAATCCTTTGTAATACTAGAACGCAAATACCTGGCACTCACATCTTTTGCGGCAATTTAAAGGTTTGTTAACACTTACTTCCACTTGCGTTTTCAGCTTCTCTATGGCCATATCGGTGTCATATGTGACGGACTTTACGTGGACGCGCTGCTGACGGATCTGTCTGTTTAATTCGCGGCGAGCTCTAAAAGTAAGATGATCACAAATATATAATTTTTTTAGTACATGCACTTAGTTTCAAATTCACGTTACATTCAAATTACAAGAAAATTGCTTTACGAAACAACCCCTGTAAAAATAACTCTTAAACGAAATAACTTACGACACGTCTTCTTTCTCTTCAACTGGACTTAAAACTCTTGAGGATGGTGAAGAATTGCCGGCGAATTAACGATCTATTATGAATCCATGCATAATGAAGTGATGAAATTACCATTGTAAACAATGACTAAAGACATTGAAGTACATATAAAAGTGATTTTTTGTAGTATAGTAAGTATATAATATAGGCAGCATTGACTTATTATATATTAATAGCGTAAGGACGGGGCCGACCGAACAACTAAAACGGACCAGTGCGTTGGCCCTAAAATTACAATTTAGGGCCAACGCGAATCGGTCGACGGTGGTGCGCACGCAAGACAGATTTCCCTGTCATAAATATGTCTAGTTGTGTGGTAAAAGGATGCAAAAATTACGATACAGTAAAAATGAACATGGGATATCGTATCATCGGTTAATAACCTTGTATTAATTTTGTTACAATTAAATTATTATATACACGCATTTTTAATTTACAGTTTAGTTACGTAACAAAGATTAAGCCAGGGTTGGATTCAGACCCTCAAAAATGTTGTACGTGGAAAATAAAATTATACTATTTTTAAAAAAATTATATCACGTTTGACGTTTCATGTTTCTTTTTCCCATGTGCCGGGATTTTGGCGGATTTTTTGCGATTTGGCGAAAAAGTTAGGAGTAAAATATTTCGATGGGCCTATCCTTCCGTTTGAAATCATTGATAGGCAGTAAAATTTTAACCCTATCCTGTCCGGCATGTAGCTTGTAACACACAAAAATTACGATATGCGATAAGTGTCTTTGAAAAGATTCACGGCGAGCCATCCTAACACATCGCAGCACCAAATATACGTTTATACGTTGTAGAGCCATGCTGCAGTTATATTAGTAGTATAGTTGTAGCACGAATGGGCCGGCTCGACTGGGGAAGGACCAGGCTCTAACAGAATACCAACGTCAAATAGTAGCTTAATGCTGCTGTGTTTCGTATGGTGAGTGTAAGAGAATCGGAGACCCATTTTACTGAGGAATTTTTAAAGAGGCATTCAAAGAAGATTAGAGAGCATTTAAAGAGGTATTTTAATTCGTAGTCGAGGATAGATGTAGATGTCTATGGGCCACAGCAACCACTTACCATCAGGTGGACTGTGTGCTCGTTTGTGACCCTGTCTCAACAAACGACGTCTTATAGGGAAGTTTTTTTTTATTTTAGGTCGTCGTAAGTTGTTTTGCATGCACTTCGAATATAATAAAATGGGTCATAATATGAACGATACATTTCTTGATTTCGAATTTATGATAGGGAGATTAGAAATACATCACACAGATCGTTGCAGCGACAGTGACATGTTCCATTGCAATGAATTAATTAAAAGTTCACGCGCCGGTAAGTGTGTCTCGACTAACGTTGCCAACCCTATTTGACAACAAACTATAGAACACTGAACTCTCAAAACATGAACAGGGGGCCTATGTTCAGCAGTGAACTTGGAAGGACTATAATAAATAAAAAAATTTGATTGACTTACGTTCGATTCCTCGTTTCATCTTCCAACAGCGATAAGAAATATTTTTCGCGACCAATCATCTGGTCCGCGTAGTCCATTAAAGCTTGGTAGCGCTTTTTCAGCGACAAGTCAAGATACGTAGACGTAAGCACGTTGAGCAAGAAGTTCCTAAAGAAACGGATAAGTATCTAAATCCTAAACACACGGCAATGTTTCAACAAAGTTCTGAAAAAGAAAGAAACGACGTACCGACAGCATGTGTGTACTTACACGAACCGACCATCGAGCTACTTCGACCCCCTCCCTCTAACCTAAAAGATACCTATTTTCCGACTCATTTGTAATTTTTCCGTCTAGTAGCTGTTCAAGAGAAACCACAACCGCATATCCCTTGGGTGTCGCAAAAGCCGACTCAGGGAAACTGAAACAGGAGATGGGCAGCAGTATCTTGGTGATAACGCAAACAGGAACCTTTTTTATTCAATATAGAGTATAAATAACACTTATTGGAAGTAACTCTTTTTCTTAATTACCAGAATAACAATTTAATGACAATAATGATAAAAGACTGCGGTTGGCAACTCGTCTGCCAAGTGTGGCAACTATGACATGACTTTTGACGGACTGTTCTCAAAAATGATGATGATTACTTACTGACAACTTACTATACAACTTTTTATGTCTAATTTTAAAAGTCACAGTTCTTAAATATTTAAAGCTTGAAAACTGCCATTCATAAATATCACTCAGTCATCAAAAACCTAGTCTTCTTCCCGTGTACGTACTTACTTAATACGTAGGTATGCATTATTGTTATGTATCTTATGTACCGGATGTACCAATTTTAGCCGCCAAATAGTGGCAACGCTATACATACCTATACATGTCTTTTGTATTTAAAATATTTTAATTTGTAGTAACACACACAGTTTTAATTTCAGTATATTAAGAGGATAGAGTAAGTCAGCTCAAATTCTAATTTCGCCCCCACTTCCCCCGCGCGTCGTATGCTTGTACCGATATGTTTGTAATCACTAATACTGTAAGTAGAAAGGTCGTTAGACACTTATTTCATTAGATTTATCATATTTATGCCTGTTTCTTAACGCCAAGCCAGCCGCTTCTTATTTTTATCACGGTTATTTCCCATTTTAATTTTACGTCGTACTGTTGCGTAATGTATATTCTGATCGTAAGCGACACAACTTCTCCCTTCAAAAGCCTAAGCGATACTAACGGTGCGACAGGAATCAAGCTCAAGACGCCGATAGTTTAGGTAATTTCTTTTTACAGTGAAAATAATGGTATTTTAAAAAAAGTAAATAACATAAGCACTGCTTTGTAGTTAGTTCAGTTAGTATGCAAAGTTTCATGATCTTATTTAAAGTATTTTATGAATAACAGCGGTTTATTGTTTATTTTGGAGGTAACTTTGGATTTTTTTTCTATCGAGAAAATTTTACGAAATCGTGTTTTAGTCTAACATAATCATTAACATTAATCCTCAACTTTACCATATATTTATTTCAAAATTAATGCTGCAATATTTTCGGCATAACGAAGGATCTTGCTAAGCGATTTGACATTATATTTCCCCTTAATAACACAGTAATATACTGAAGTTAAAACTTTGTTTACTAACAAGATTTTTAACTAAATAGAATACGATCACATTTCTGTTATTAATAATATTTGAAGTTTATTTGTTGTTTCTTCCGAGCCGCATCGTAATTCCCGACTGTGCGAAAATGTGGTCAGTCGATCACAGTCAGAATAGGTAAGTACTTCACCTAAATAACTTAATTAACATTTCGCAATGTATTTTTTACTCTTTATTGACATCCCTTAGCAACCACGGAAAGTCCGCTGTGACGTAGCGTAGGAAGGGGAAAATATGCGAAGTAATATGGACGCGCGCGCGCAGCGATAAAGTTTTATTTAGCTAGCGTGCGCGATTTAATTAATTATTAATAATTACGTAGGCTATTAAACGTCGGCAAGCAGTCAACTTCAAAGGAGTGCAACTTCTGTACGTAGTACTATAATTTATTCTGTGGCATATACTTGTATATGCCACAGACTTCTATATACATAAACTTAATTTTCTAAGCGTCCTTCTCCGTTTGTTCGTAGAACCAAAAAAAAACTGACCGATCCGTCTCCAATTTGTTCAGTTTATACTCTCCGCGTTCTAAGTCGGAAGGTTTAATCTTCTGCAGAGGATCACTAACGGGTGCCGGGGCGACAGAAAACTTGAGCGCAAGCAGTTCGTCCATATCTGCCATTGTTTTTGTTACGCGAAGCGAGTTGTTACATTCTCCTATAAAGAAATATAAAACAAACAAATAAATTTGAAATAAAATTCTGAGGATCTGCTCAGGACAGGATTATAGTGCTCAAGTTTGTGCGTCTCGTCATCCTCACCCGCATAAACCGATGGGACGCTAATCCAACTGAGAAAGATCAGCCGCAGGATGATAGATCAATGGCTGAGAATTTTTTGATAGAAACAATTAATAACTGATTTTGGCCCGACCTGGGATTCAAACACGGGTCTCAGAACTCACGCTTACAACCACTAGACAGTGTACGTGGTCGTAAGCGTAACGAGGCTGTCGATTGTCGTGATATCCGTGATCGTCAAGTGGTGGTCCCCTTTATCACTGATATTATCCTGTGACAAAGATCGAGTCGTATTGCTACTTGCAATAAAAAGTAAGACTGCCTTCAAGTAAAGATCCTACTCCTCTTTAAAAGGCTGGCAAGGTATCTGCGATTGTCCTGGTGTTGCAGTTGTTCGTCGGCTTTGGTAGTCACTTAGTATGAGTAGAACCGCAAGCTCGCTTGCCCTCTCTTTCATAAAATGTGGATCCAACACAGTATACCGTGTAGTGGCAGTGTAAGAATATCTACCACCCCATATCGCGCCGTTAGTTTCGTAAAATGGCGACAGAGGGAAATTGAAACAGGAGATGGGCAGCAGCATCTTCCTGATAATAACTCGAAGTAATAAAAAAGTGCGGTTGCCAACTCGCCTGCCAAGCTTGGCAACTATGGTTAAATCCCCCCCCATGAGACAATCTATGGGGGGCCAATAGACATCTACATCAATCATCAATCAATTCAAATAAAAAGATCGAATCAAAATGCAGATACGTTGTCAACCTTGAGGACTAAGATGGAATGCCTCTTTTCCAGTAAAAAGGGTCTTCGGTTCTCTACTCTCACCATACGAAACACAGCAGTGTTAAGCTGCTATTTTACGTTGTATGCAAATAATTGCAATTTTACAGCAGTGTTAAGCTGCTATTTTAATCTGTGAGAGCGTGGTCCTTCCCCGGTCGAGCCGACCCATTCGTGCTACACAGATACTACTAATATAGCTGTAGCATGGCTCTACCACGTAAATTTACTATATATACACTCCTAGATGTGCCACAGTAACCGCTTTTCGTTATTTAAAGAATTGCAAATAATGTTGGAGAAACTGGCACTACAAAACCCATATTGGTCAACTGCTCTACGCCATTGCTTCTTCATAACAACGCTCGGCTACATACTACAAACCTTCTCATCCACCATATTATTGCCAATACCTCGTCCCAACAGACTTCCACTTTTTCTATAGTTAGATAGGAATATCTTATATGCAAAAATGTCAATCTATATCTATAATAAAAATGTGAATTGCAGATGCCTGTACTTTATATCAAAATAATTGTTAGGAAAATTGTAAAGCATATGTTCGTTTTAAATTTAGTCTTTGTTTTATTAAAATTGTTTCATCTTATCAAAAGTTATGTTTTATATGTCTGAAGTATGGGTACGAAATATATAGGTACGAATTTGTTCAATAGTGGCGTTGAGTGATCAAGGACATTTTTGTAATTAAATAATGTAAAATAGTGTTCTATAATGATATAATTGTATTTAAACACATTTAACAAAAATAATACAGAATAACATAATAAATATTTATAAAAACAATATAAATCCTAATATCTTAGTTTAAAAAGTACAACAGATAAACAATGTCATCGATAGATGGTGTTGTGCAAATTAAAGGTACTTATATTTTTTTCTTAATCGCCGAGTACCTAAAACATGGTAATTTAAATTTTGAAAGAGCTATTAACAATTTTTTTTGGTTTCGGCAAGGATCATATCAATCATATAGAAGCTTGGCAGTGAACATACCATACTTCCCTTTTGCACTTCCAAAAGTTTTAAAATTTACACTGTCGGGAAATTGAAAAATTACGTTACCCGATTTTGAGTTTTTTATATTATTCCTACCCGTTCTTTTCTAAATATCATATAATTTTTATTTTACTGTAATAATAAATTAACTACTATAGTTTTATATAGATGGCACTATAAGTCCAAGCACCATAAGGTTTCATTATTAACGAGATATGAAGCACGCATAATATGTAAATAATTACTCTTTTTTAATAAATAATATTAACAATGCTATAAACATTACTAATATTACCCTTAACCACTCGTGGTAAGCTTAAATTGCTTGTGTTACGAGTGGTTGCCGCCAGTAGTCGAATGGTGGATTCGAAGTTTCGAACCCACGACCTTTTTGAGTTCGCGGTCCGCGCCCTGTCATTAGGCTACTGTCGCTTCAAAAGTCGCTTTGCTTGCTACTTTCGACGCAATGTTTGTATTGGACCAGCAAATACGTTTCTTCCTTTTGTCCAATAACCGTTACAGCATTTCAAAGCCCCCTCCTGAACACAGGTCTCCCCATTGATTGCCTCATATTTGGCATTATTGATTTATACAACTCAATGTTTGGCATAGTTTCCACGATCTATCACGCACGCTTTACCCGATTACGGAAACGAAGAAGCGGGTTATATATTATATTATACAGTCAATACAATATGACCCACGGCTGACTGAGTACATGCATTCAATGAAATGTATATATAAAAAAGGATATTTAGGCATTCAATAAACTCAATATCTCATACTTCTTAGAGCAGGGAAGAGTCCATAGTGCCGTCCCGGCACATTTGTTCTGTTTAATTTAAAATTTAAAATTAGTAATAAAGTGCATATAAACATGATAAATTTATGTTTTATTTGCTTAGTTAACAGGTACTTAAAATTAGACAATATTTTTATATTATATCAAAAGCTTTTTTATTTCGTTTTCAAATAGCATTTATAAAAAAAATTATTTATATTGGACATAGTTAAAACGAACAGAATAAAATTTAACTAGCCGTAAAGTTAGTTTTATCATTTACCGACAGTTGTCACTGTTTACTATGTATCTACTATAAGTACTCTTTATATACTGAGTCATAGATACTAAATTACACTGAGTGACTACCTATACCGCTTGAAGTAGAAATCTAAAATCACCCCACCATTTTTTTAATGTAAAACAATGCTTTATATCATTTACCATAAAATCTTCTTAAATTCTAATGAAATAACCATAAAATTGATTGAATTAGTCAATATTAATTTCAATAATTGCTATAGTATGTATGTAAGTACATGAAAAATGTAAAAAATGGTCAAATTTAACAAGCCTAACAAATGCCGGACACTGTCTGATTTGGCCGGACACACAACCAAAAAGCCTGACTGTCCGGCTTTATCCGGACACCTGGCAATGCTAACTGTAGGTAGGTAGGTACATTTTATGATGTAGAAATCCGCTACGAAATCATTTTGGAGAGAGTGTCAAATAAGGATGTTACAGTTTATTATTTTATTGCATAATTATTTTACGGCAGAGGGCGCAGGGGCAGAGGGTGTGCAATTTTGTATGGAAATAAAGTATCTTAGTATTTCTTAAAACAACCTCTTATCGGAGGAGGGAGAAGGGCGTAGATTTTGAACTCTTGTTTTAAAACCGTAAGAGTACGGTTCAAATTTTGTATGAAAAATATTGTATTAAATCTACAGCTCAAACCGCTGGATATAGATGCGTGAAATTGGAACAATAACTTCCCTTTAATAAGTAGGCGTCCATTAAGAAAGAAGTCATGAAAAATTAAGATTCTTAATAGTACAATAAAGTTTTAAGAATGTTTTTTTACGGGGTGATTTCAGATTGGTGTAGGGAAAAATATAAAATTTAAAAAATAAAAAATTAGTAGGAATACTTTAGGATTAAAATAATGCAATTAGTTTTTTTTTTCATTTTTCTAATATCTCACCTTAAAGTGTTACAGGATTCATGGTTTGCGGAAAAAATGGTTTTCAATTGCATCGTGGTGGAGAAATCCGTAACACAAAATTATGATAATTATTAATAATATAATTATAATATATTATTATTATTATTATTATATTATATAACTTTACAAAAATCTGCCCCTATTGATCATTATACACAAAATATAAAAAATTGTCTATTTATCATTGTGTCCGAGTTAGTAATCCGACAAAAATATAGTGAGATTAGATACAGATAAAACAGCTTTACGTGCTGTCTGAGGCATAGGAATGAAACACCGCTTAACCCTTGACTCCGGGACTGAGAATTTCTTGATAGAAAACCCAACTGATTTCAAGCTCGATGACACCTATTACTTAAAGGTCAAAAACTTTCCTAGATTGAGTTTACTTTTATTTTTTATATGTTTTCAGGACAAAATATAGATACTTACGCAATTTCATTGATTTAGTACTTAGTTTTAGGTAGGCATTGAATTGTAGTTTTCATTTAAAAAATTTTATTCGATATCAATAATTTGCGATGGTGCTTGCTTATTTAGGGCAATATCTTATTGGTTGTATGGAAACCAAGTATTGGCTAGAGAAATTCGGGAGCAAATTAGGGATTACGTTATTGCGGTCATTTTGTTGTTTATTTACAAAATAAAACACAAGCGTACAGTTTGCCCCATTTGTTTCTTGGTTCGTTTGTGAGTCCGTTTATTTATTTGTCTGAGTGACCGACTAACTGAATGCTTTTATTAAGATTAGTGTCCTTCTAAGTCTTCGCGACAGTTTAATTTACAAATAAATCATCATCACATAGAATAGCAAAAGTACTGATTCCACGCGAACGAAGTGACAAGCGGCAAAAAACGCCTTCAAAGAGTTAATCAATTCTCGCGATGCGAAGCAGACTTCTATAGCGAGAGTGATGGCCTCGTGAAGTACAAATATTATAAAATGACAAGAATGTGTTTATAGTTAAAATACCCTAAATTTAAACACCAGCTTTTGCGATAACTTTTAACACTCGCATTACCAAGTGCTGGATTTGGATGGATTCGACATCAATTCATATTTTATCAGTATGTAATTTTTATCTAAATATAATTTCCAAAACACAAGATTTCCAAAAAAAAAAAAATACCGAGCAATGCTCGGTCATCCAGGTACTTTAAAGTTACCTATATTTTAATAAAGACGAATATTAAGCACATAATAGTGATAAACACAAAATCGGCCTCCGAAAATCGCAACGTTTGATTATTTTTAAGTCATGTAAGAAAACATTTTATAAAATCGTTTTATTTTTATCTTTTACTAAAAAACAAGCAAAATCGAACTGCTTAAGCGCTCGGGCCTGTACCGGCCAGTGCTCGCCAAAATTTTAATGGTATGAGGTCAAGACTTTTTTGAAATTGGACGTACGTTGTAATATGATCTAAAACTCTACACGCTTAATGATTTTGGTTAGACAACTGCAGAGAACTACGGAGAACACGGAGAACACCGTACCATAAAACGTATATTATAAGCATAATGTATGTACAAGGGGTCCTTAAATCTTTAACCTGTATCCTTACCCCTAACACCATACCCTGAACTTTAAAATCTCACATTAGGGATTTTATTATGATTTTACTATGTCCCCAAATTTAAATATGTAAAAAGGAACAATCGCTCCCCAAGAATGCGTACTTAAATCTTTAACTTCTACCCTAACCCCTATCACATCACACAAAACGTTATAACCTTATGGCTCGGTTACACTATGCTCCTCGCGCTGCTCCTCGCACTGCCGCGATGTTGCCCTGTCTGGTGTCTGTCCACACACTGCTCAACTCGCGTAAATAAGGCGACACCGCGAAAAAATGCACCTCCTTTCATCGAATAGTACAGGACTATGACACCACTAACGAAAGTGAAATTTTTATGTAGGTAAATTCATGCCTTTATCTTTAATTTGCTTGTTCAAAAACACGATTGTATAATTTTCACTCGATCATAATTATTTGCGAAAATACCTCTAAAAATCACTAAAGTTGAAATTACAACGAAATTACTTAATCTATATCCTTGGGAATCACTCAAATATATTTATAACATCAATACTCATGATTTTTAAATAACACGTAACGTGTTTTCGTAACGAGAGGTCGATTCGGACCATAGATTACTGTATATATACTAGGGATTCGGACTGCGTTTGGGGTTTGCGCGTACACGAATGTGTGGCCAGCACTAGGTAAATGTATTCTGTGGTGACCAGTCACTCGCGCTCATATTGCCAGTCCTTTGACTCGCGCCCAAAAAACCGACAAAACAGGGAGCGATGGGCATGACGAGGAGCATGACGTGCGGCATGACGATTATTGCCGCCACACTACGTCTCTGCCTCCTTTCTTCGCAATAGCGAAAAAGTCTAGTCCCCGCCACACACTCGTCGAGTGGCATGGGAAGTATCCCAGGCGGGGGTGTTATATCCCGAAATTTAAATATGTAAAACAAAACAATCGCTCACCGAGAATGCGCATTGTAGTAATAGCATCTTCCAAGACGGTAGCAAACAAACACGCCGTCACGTAAGGCAACCTGAAAATGTATTTGTCATGTACATACTAAAATAATTATGTCCGTCAGACCAAGCGATAACGACGGCCAGTTAAGAACTGGCCTTCTGCGCTAGACAGGATTATAGTATTATATAGTGGAAGAGGATGTGCGCAAACAGGTGCGCTCTCATAATCCATTTGGACGGCAATCAGGCGAGATCGGAGGGAGATCAGGTGCAGGGAAAGTGGCTTTACGTGCTTTTCTGAGGCGCTTGCTTGATATGCGGACAACTTCCTAATTACGGGTAATAACTCAGAGTTTCTTGATAGAAAAACCTAATTCGGGTCAAATTTTAACCCAACCTTGGATTAGAACCCGGGACCACCTGATCAGCTATCTTACTTACGTCCGCTAGACCAACAAGGTAGTCAAACATAAATACTACAGTCTATTATGTAGTTTATTACTACACGATGTTTATCTATTGCTTCCGAATTTGTAATTTATAGTTAGCATTTTCAAGATTAAAGAATTAACTCATGATGGGCTGAATTAGGACCGAAGATGTGTGGAGACTAGCATTTGTAGATTTTTTTCAACTAGGTACATCATCTATCTACATAAAACAAAAAAAATGTTTTCTACCTACGTCCGTTACAGACTTTGATACCATTCAAACGATTTTGATGAATATTTAACTTCCCAGATGTTAGATGATATTCACATTTGGATGCGGTAGGTGGCGCTGTCGTGGAGATCCAGAAATCACCTACTAGTATTTGAAGCCGGGGCGAATCGTTAATTTTGTATAGAATGTAATGTAATGTAATGTATGTACACCAAATGACGAACCCACTACATTTTGTATTGATTGACATATTCTTTTTATTTCTTTTTCCTTATTGCCTTTTCTAATCACATTGACGTTTTTTATACACAATCATGCTTAATAAGGAATCAAAATGTAGATGCTTTGTTACCTCTAAGGAGTGGGTAAGTATTTCATGCTGGCCGTATTTCGATCATGGCCACGATTCTCTAGTAACAATCAACAGCTATGAATTACGAAGAAGATAAGATAAAATACGTGAATTAGCGACCGCAGCACCAGATGTCTATAAAAATCTCGCATTTTGACGTTTCTCTACGTAGTCGATCTGGTTTTTAACAGCAGGCATATGCGAGACAGTACATCAGCATCTAGCGCGGTCATGAGATCTGTGGCCTTACTCATTGTTAACTACCCTCGCGGGTAGAAATTTAATGGAATTATGGATATGGTGAATACTCTTACGCCGCTACCACTGACTGATAAACCATTGGTAATATTCAAATGATTAAGTATCCTTCTCCTATCAAATCGACTTATTCGTGTCACGACCATTAGAGCTTCAGCAACATTGGCAAAAGAAGTTACATCTTTTCACGCATCGATCATCATTATTTGTAGTAAACTGACAGTGTAAATACGTTCTACTGTTGGGCGCAGGCCTTCTCTCATTTTTGAGAACGTTTTAGAGCAAGGAAATATTACTTTTTATTTTTATGCAACGTTACCACACTAGGAATTTCTCTTGTATCGTGGGCGCAGTTTACATACATAAATTTCACAAGGGCAACCCCTGAACAATTATTTTAAGGCCATACAAATACTTGTTCCATGCGGCATTCCAACCCGCAGCCCTCAGCGCTGCAACTGATCGCTCAGCACCTGCAGCACGAAGACGTTAGCCGTGTCCGAGCCGCTGTTCCTCGTTAGCGGACTTCACGTCTTTGGAACATTTTTTAATTTCTCAGACATGCAAGTTCTATCACGATGTTTAGAAATTAAAATTGCAATTAACAATTTTTTTGGTGTTGGCGGGAATCAAAGCCGGGTTGTTCGCGTACTGTCTAAAGGGGAATGCCCATTTTCGGCCATGAAACGCCCAACAATTTGCATTTGATAAAAAATTATACCTTTATTTATGGTTATTAATCGCGGTATTCATTTATCCTAAAAAGATGGGAACATTTTCACACAAGAAAAGTACCGAAAAGATAAAAATAAAATTAGGTAAATACGTAATTCATTAGTTTGTGAATAAAATAAAAAATGTTGCCAATCACAAATCTCATTAAAAAAATCGATTTCCCTTTTTTGATCGATTACTTATGGTGTCATTATTACAATGCAAATATAACTTTTCGATAATTATTATAATGTTATGATATAGGTGTAAAGCAATCGTTTACAATGGATATTTATCCAATGCAGCCGATACGCAACTGTTGTCAACAACTTGTATATCCGACTACAGACGAAAAAGGGGGGTTATGTTTTTAATGTGTGTGCGGGTGGCTAAGCTGAATCGTTTTTTGCTATGGTGCTTAATAAGTAAACGTTGCTTGAATTTTATTATAGAGGGCGCTACTATCAATGAATATGTTTTTTTCGCTAAACTCGTAAAGTACTTGACCGATTTTGAAAATTCTTTCACCACTAGATTGTTATGTATAATTATAGATGTTTAATATAGGATGCATTTTATTATAGAGCAAGCGCTCAGCCCCTGAGCTAACACGTTTTATTTTATTATTCATAGTGTTAAATATAAATCAAAGCATTGAATGCATCTTTTACTAAAGGATGATTATAAAATGATACAAATTAAACTTACGGTTCTAAGGTTCTTCTTACATCATCTTCGTTGTTTATATTATTCTAAAATATTAATACATTAATGATTGAGTCAATAGATATTAAAATGCAAAAAAATTAGTTTCACAGAACTGGCGCGAGGGTACCTTTTATAAGTGTGTGCTGTGGTGATACAGCCTTAATTAAAAACCTTCACAAACACGTGCCTGGGTAACAAAAAAGGGTTAGGGGTAATTTTCCACCCCATTCACCCTCTACTCCCTAGAAGTGTTACTTACTTACTTACTTACTTATCTTCACGCACAATCCCTAACGGGGTAGCCAGAGAGAACAGATCGCCAAGTGTCACGATCCTTACATACCTCTTTCGCTTCTTTCAGGTTCATTAACTTCTTCATACATGCACGTCTAGGTATCCGAGTACTCTTGACCCTCCCCTCTTCGAGCAATTTGCTCACATGGTCTTCGAAAGTTAGTCTCGGTCTACCTCGACACCTTTTAATATTCACTTTCGCTCTATATATTTTCTTCACCATTCGGTCTTCACTCATTCGTTCAACGTGCCCAAACCATTGGAGTACGCCCCTATCAATTTTTGTGATAAGGTCATCTTTCAATCCTGCCATATTGCGAATCTCTTCGTTTCGCTTGCGGTCGGCTAAGGTAACGCCACACATTTTACGAAGAGATCGCATCTCCACTGCATTCAACTTGCTTTTATGCTTCTTCTGGCATACCCAGGTTTCGCTGCCATATAACAAAGTCGGTACCAACACTGCGTTATGTATTGCAAGGCGTGCACTCTTCACCATGCCTTGCATTTTGACTAATGCATTCAGGGCACCATTGACTTTGTTTCCGGCAGCGACACGCCTATCCACATCTAAATCACATCTTCCATCCCGGCTGAAAGCACTCCCCAAGTATACAATTTCATTTACCTGTTCTAGACATTCCTGATTTACCCATATTTCACATTTCGTTCTCTCTTCGTCCTTTTCAAATACCAGAACCTTAGTTTTATTAGCATTCAAACGGAGACCTTTAATTTCACATTCCTCTTTCATACACGTCATAGAAGTGTCAAACAGTAAAATACAAGCACAAAAAATTGAAGTGATAATTTTACAACAAATCATAACTTAAAAACTATGCATTTCCGCGTGTAGGCTTATGAAGGTTATTTATCGCCTGACCCCTCTATCACAGAATAAATAATTGCCTCTATCCTCACCGCTCATCAGCTCTCTAAGGTCACAGAATAAATAATAGCTAAGGTGTCCAAATATATTTCGAGGGTTACTTGAGCAGCCTGTCTACATGGTTGATCTGACAGAAGAAACATGATTGCGAATAAGAAGGATAATATATAAGAAAATGTTTCAATATTAACCTCTTCCGTTATGTTATCAATTTGAAAATACAGTTTCGATGGGCTCATTTTTTCCCCACCATCAGTATGTTTCATATCCTTTTCATCATTTGAAATTCTGTAACTTGGATACATCTTTCACAACTGTGCCTTTATTAGCTTAGCTTAGTAGCTTAGCATTATATATAAATTCATGTACCAAAGTCTAAATACAAATTATATATATACAATCTATAGAAACCCTTATTGAATTGTCAAATAAATATTCCTTGTAAAACGAAGACATATAATACTCCTTGCTAATAAATACAAAAAAATATTCAATATTATCAACCAAAGAGAATATTATCACCAAAGAGTATAATATTAATCACTATGTTTAAACACAACTATCTGCTAGTGCTTTTATTGAGATTAAAGAAGACGAAGAAGGTAAGGTAAAGGTTAAGTAAGCAGGTATAGGCAACGCCACGAGTCATGGAAGACACGGTAATATTATATAATAATATTACCGTGCCGCAAAACCGAAAAATAGGTGTCGGCACGGTGAGGTGTGAGCTACGGGGAAGCGAAACCATAGCAACGGGCGACGTGCTACTCCAAGTAGTTTCTTCCTGCGTCCCGTCGCCCGCGCACCTTCTTGTGTCGTTTTGTGTACTATGGATATCGAAAGTGTTAGCGACTACCTGTTATAAAATTTTAAATTTTTGCGATTATTTTTGTACTTTTAAAATATTGTTCTATAATATTTTCAAATAGTGTGCAAATATTTATTACTTTATAAATTATTTTGGGACTATTTAAAATAGCGTAATTCGTAGTATATTGTATAAAGTATAATATTTTGTTATTTTCTACAAGATGATTTTTTGCAAATTATTGCATGTAAAATATCCTTATAATCGAAGGCTATCGCATAGTATAGTTTAAAAAGCAATTACAAATACAAAAATACAAATACAAAATATTTTATTTCTTTAACTAAGTGTACATAAAATGCAGAATATTATTTAGAAGCAGTTAAAACCTAACGATGATATCTAAATATATCGTTCAGTTTTAGTGTCGACTTTGATGTGTAGTTATAATGTTGACCTATGACTTTTTATATATTAAAATGCCATAATAAAATTTTCATTTTTCTGCTTGATTGTACATGCGCAGTGGACTCTATTTAATTTCATCTCTCGTGGCACGACCTAATCACCAAGGACAATGAACGTTTCTTAGATTTAACGTCGATTGCCCAGGGCAGGGTTGGTGAACCTTTATGTATCAACGTGTCATTTTTCTAAAGAAATGTTTAATTTTGACTTCGTGGTTACTGGGAAAATAATAGTACTATCGACCCCAAAACTCTTTATTTACTACAAAAATAAATAAAGATTTTTGAATTGAGACATTTGTTAATTTGCTTATGTTTCAGTTATACGCGTTATTCAAATTAACATTAGTAAAAGTAACATTAGTGTGACTTTTGTTGTTGCAGATTAGATGACAAATAACTTATATTGGGCTTGTAAAATCATAAATATAACACAAATGAACTTTTAAATACAATTGTGTCATCGATATCGACTTTTATGCTATGAGTAAACGAACTATTCAATCCTTGGTGGGGGGGGGGGACTTGTGAAGGGCTGTAATGATTATGATGATGAAACGAACTATGCGTCATTAGCAATAGTAGTCCACGATGTAACTAGGATCACTCACGTTCGTTTGTAATATAATAAATACATCATAATGAACTTTGTGATCGGTGGCGTGCCCAAAGTGTTGTGTGCCATTGGTTCGCCAGTGTACGTTTGAGATTAGTCTCTGTTAAATTTGAGGTCGCCCCGATTCCCCCCGGGCTGATCTATATGAAATAATACGCAACGCAACCTCATCGCTGCACTTAAGCTACATACTAGGAAGTGAGTTCCTAAGGCCCGGTGTGCCACTGTTCAGGAGTGGCATCACATTCGGCCCTACGTCGAGATCCGTCTCCGTAAGGTTGGGAAGGATCTCCTAGGTGTGCGTTATTCGTAGTTAGCAGTGGCTGCAAATAACCGCCGGTTCCACAAACTCCGCCGATCGTTGAGTCCTGTGATTCCGTGAGGCGTCGAGGTCACCGGCCCCTAGGTGATTCTTGGCACTTTATGCGCTCCGTGCATCCTGTGCCCAGTCGCGTACTAAAGTGCCACCATCGCACTTCCCCCAACCCTTTTACTAGTAAAAGGGGTAGGCAGTGCCCACAGTGAGGAAAGTCACCTTTCAATATTACCACCACCCGCGTCGCGCATTATCATCCGTGGCGATCGGCTGGAACTTAGATAGGGCCTATAGTTGATTACCACTGACTGTTCTGATTAGGTTAGGGATATGTCAGATAAGGATAAGGGGGGAGCCTCCTCCTAAATCGAGGAAACCACCGGACCGACCAGGCGTATTGGAGATGCCAATCGCCTACCGTGACATTTTTAATCCGGAGAGGGTGAGAGTTGTCTCATCATACTCCCAAATACCGACTCGCAAGTCTTCGTCGCCAGGTAAGGAGTCCGCACCGAGTGCCGCACTCGCGCCCATCGTACCTGAGTGTACGACTGGGCGTGAACCGCCGCCCCCTCAACAACAGCGGCCTACGAAGACGCCACGAAGGCACACGCCACCCGAGACCGAAGCCTCCCTCTACGAGAAGAGGCAACGCATCGGTGACTCATCTGATCCATCAGCATCATCGGATGTTGAAGAGCCCCAAGCAACGACCAGGAAGAAGGTACATACCTCACCTCCTAAGTCGCCATCACCGCCACAACAGCCATCATCCATGTCACCAGACCGAAGAAGCCATGACTCGGCCCAGTATGAACAAGGAGGTGAGGAGTCCTACAGCTGGGGCTCAACAACATACGCAACCCTAGCTGCATCCGCCGGCCGATCATCGCCGGTGGCAACAGCCAACCCGTCCGGGCTTCCGCAGGATGATGGCCAACGGCCATCTACCAGCTATGCCCATATGGTAGCTGCACCAGCAGTACCACGACCACAACCGGCGGCAGTGCCTACAGATAAGCCTGCCGACCAGGAGAAACCAGATATCCACCTATAGTGGCCGAATGCCTACCGGATTGGACGAGGCATTTTAGGGAGCTCAATAGAATGTTGGGCCACCCCTTAAATGCCCGTCCGTTCGGGAAAGGCCTACGGTTCACACCGCAGAGTGCTAATGAATTTAGAACCGTTCAGAGATACATGATCGAACTTACAAAGGAAATACCAACACTGTCGTGGTAATGTTACACCCCGGAGGAGGACAAGCCCACAAAAGTGGGCATCCGGGGTCTACCAATGGGCACGGACACCAAAATAATAGAGGAGGCTATTAGGGCAAAAGGCTTCCCTGTTAAATACGTCAAAGCGATACCACCTCGTAGGGGCAGACTTGGCTGCATCTACTTTGTCCAATTTGACCACCTGAGCCTGGAGCAGCTCCAGGACCTTTATAAAGTCGCCGAACTCCTCTATATGAGAGGAGTCGTCATCGAGGCCTGGAAAAGAAAAGCAGGACCGGCACAATGCCACCGATGCCAGGCCTTCGGGCACGCCTCCGCCAACTGCTTCAGGCCAGTGAGGTGCGTGCGCTGTGCCGGGGAGCACATTGCGAGCCTTTGCCCTCGGGGTAGAGAGGAAGAACCTAAGTGTGCCAACTGTGGCAAAAACCACACAGAAAATGACCGCCGCTGCCCAGTCCTGAGGAGGACTGCCAGAAGGCAGGGGATAACTTTGCCGGGGCTACTCCCGGAGGACCCAAAAAAGATCCCCCCAGAGTCGCCCAAAAACCGTGACCATCCAAAAAGACGGGTGGGTTACCATCACAGGGAAAGGGCGGCAACCCGAACCCCCCCTCCCACCCGTAAAACCTAAAAAAACGGTGGAACCCACAGTGACAAGGGCAACCACCGGGGCGACTCTACAGCCCCCCGCCAACCCTGCCACAGAACGGCAACCCTCCAAGAAGAGGAGGCGGGGGAGGAGCAGGAAGAAGTCGCAGCCTCCTCAGGCTGTTACCTCTACCCCGACACCATCTGGACCAGTAGCCTCACAGGCGCAGATTACTCGGGTGACGACCAAAAGCGTGGGTAGAGTGCCAAAAAGGGCTCTACCTGAACATAGAGCCAGCTCTACAGGTAGAGCGCGCTCTACCCACAAGCCAAGAGGGCAGGACCAGGATATAATCTTCACCCGAGACAATTGCTAAGACCTTCTTATAGGAGAACACCTACTGCCGGCCTCGAGACAGCACATGCAATACGTTTGGTTGGTATTGCCATCGAGGTCGGCAACACAAGTCCTGGCCGACATTAGAGCCGGGACAGATCCAGTGACAGCGATAATGAAGGCGCTGGCAAACCTACTAGCCCGGTATTACGGAGGAGAGTAATCTGCGCCTCCTCTATTGGAACCCGGACGGAATACAGCAGAAGCTGCATGAACTCCGCACTGTCGCCCAGCAACAAGACTTGCACATAATATTGCTGGGTGAAACAAAATTAAATCCAAAGACGCATATTAAGCTGCCGAATTACCATCTGTACAGAAGGGACGAAGTCACTTCTCAAGGGGCTGCCTACAGAGGGACGGCGGTTCTAGTGAGAAGGGACATCGTCCACCAAGAGCTGGAATTACCATCTTACCAGACTATGCGCTCTATCGGCATAAGAATGAAGGCGGTGGGCGAGGAACTAAGAATCTACGCAGCATACCGCCCGCCAGGGACTCCATCCTGCTCCTCAGACATCCGGACGGTGCTGGAAGGTGAAACACCCACTATCATCGCCGGGGACCTAAACGCTAAACACACGGCGTGGGGGTCCAGAGTGATCACTCCGCCGGGTCTTGAACTTTATGAAGACGCTGAAAACAACAACTATGACGTATTAGGTCCCGAAGAACCGACTCACGTTCCGTCTGATGCACGGAGACATCCGGATGTATTAGACATCGTGCTCACTAGGAACGTCAACTACCCGATAGTGGTAGAAGTGCTGTACGACCTCTCCTCACAGCACCTCCCGATTCTGATAACCCTTGGCCTAAAGGCGGTGACAACACCGCCCAGAGCTTTCAAGACACGTGTCGACTGGAGGCTCTATTGCCAACATCTGCAGGAGAGACCTCCAGTCCACCAGCCTATAAGCACAGCGGACAACGTAGAGGCCGCTGCTACTAGAATTACCAAGAACATCCAGGAGGCCCTCCACGCCTCCTCTACGATCGTCCCGATCACAGCAAGGCGAGACGATCTGCCGCGAGAGATATGCGTGCAGATCAGGCGCAAGAGAGCGTTGAGAAAGCTCTCTAATTACATATATGAGAAAGGAATATGAAAGCATGTACCACCTTTCTCCCAAAATACAAAGTTTACCATAGTTTAGGCTTATTCCAATAATCTGTGTTTCCTTGGAGATATACAGGGTTATTTTGCGATAACCTGTCAAATTTGCAGAGAAGATTCAAGATAACTAATATAGGCTAACATGGAAGAAAAATCAGTTTTAAAAAATCTCAAACTTTGTGTCCTTTTTATCTCTTAAATTAAAAATGCGCATAATGCCTTATATTAAGTGATTTTACTGCACACGGAAACATTCGTAATTCGTAAGAGTCGATCGGTAGGCAAAAACGTTATTGCCCATTAATCGGATTCAATTTGGGATAGTTGCAAATAAAAGAAGAAGCCTTATTTACTGATATTTTCAAAAACTGTATTAACATTATACCATTATTTATGTATTTAAGATTAAGTTTCGAATTTGATTACTCCGAAAAATATAAGTAATATAAAATGTAAAAAAAAAATTCTTTAAGCACGGCGTCCATGAGGACGGATAACCGAGGAGCTATACGATGCGCAACTACTGTGGTTTAGTGTTAAGCACGGCTCAGTACTCGAGATTAGGGACTACTATCGAGAATAAAAATGTTTTTATCTATGGACGCGAGACTGACACGATCAGAGAGAAATTCTGGTTCGCTCTGGGTTATGATGCCTCATTCCTCCTAGTGGTAGATAGAGGATGAACCATTGTATCCCATGCAGTCGAAAGCAGTTTGCTCTTTGATTGCAGAGGCATTAACATGGAAGCCTGGGACGCATCTACATTTTACGACTTTGCGTAAAATATTGTCTATGGTAATGTCGAAAGAATCAGATTACCTATGTAATTTGGTAAGAGACTTACTCTCAGAACTCACTCGAATTCGCTGGTGTGGGTCCGAACTAGAATCAATGTTCCATCCCAACATATGGCGCAATGCCAGTGAAATATGCGGTCTTGCAAACCTAGGTATGCATATTAACTGGGAGGGGAAGACCGTTGGATCATTTCCAGATCCATCAACTAACGACGTGACGACACGATTTCTAAAATTTGTCGGCGAAATTCCGGATCTCGGAACCAGGAAGCTCTTTTCGATATCGCCGCCAATATTTATACCCGGATGCGATGTAATTTACGTCGGCTCTTCTCCAGGTAATGGATGGTCGGTAGCTCTAGATTATGCAAGATTCGATGGACGGGTCCTCTCTTATGATCCTCATCCATTAGATACTCGTATTACGTCCCCTAATATTGTGCACAGACGTGAAAATCACGAGCTTTACTGACATACTTCCAGATTTAGAAGATAGTAAGAAATACGCCTTCGTTTGGGATGTGCGCGCCGATATGCCTTGTGAACATGAGGAACGTGAACGTATTCTCGCTGGTGAACCTTAACACACATATTGACTCATGAGAAATTTCCAAAGAAGGTCTTCCTCATACAGATAAAGATAAATTTCCACGCGTTAGAACTTTACGTTTTACCCAATTGTGTACTGTTCTACCCTCAACCTTATACTCTTTCTAGGAATATACTTGAAACTCGCTACGTTGCCTTCATACCTACCACCGAGATGACGATTGTTGGCATATCACCAGCGGGGGCACTGCATATCAGAACGGTCTAGTATCTGACACAGATTTATTCATTAATTTTCTTATTTCGCGATATCGCCGGTGCGATTATATCCTGGAGAACCCTATCCTACGATGTAATTACGAAATCGTACTCTTTTCTATTAATTGGAACGCCCCTGGGAAAGTTGTTGTGTACCTAGAAGCTTCGAAAAACAGGAAGACGCATTTCGTGATTAGCTTCTTCACTGGCGCCGCCTTGACTAGTGGGGAGTACGTATTCCCCGAAGGAGAAACACTTAGAATAATGAATTGTACTTTCTTCGATACTCGTTCACTAATTAAGGCGAAAGTATCGCATCTTCATTTTGTCGCAGATGAGCAAGTTTTAGACCTCTATAAGGATGAACTTCTGACTTCAGAAACCTATATGATTAAAAAGACCGAGTTTCACTTGCATTCGCGAGGACTAATAGGACAATATGACATAGAAAGGAAAAGAGGAGCGGAAGAGAAGGGGTGCGTATTCGCAAAATTCCCGCTTCCCTTCTCAATCAGCCAGAGAGTTATATCTCCATCGGTCATACTGCCAGAATGATGGCTGAATCCAACAGAGGGAACATCTCTTTCGGAATGTTCTTACAGAAAATTCTAAGAAATTTTAGCAGAATTAACGCCAGCTTTATATCAAGGAAGAGGCTTTGCGGCCGAACGTCCACCGCAAATTCGTGGTTACTAAATTTCCTCAATAAAACAACAATAGAAAACAGAAGCTTAGAGCGTTCGACTCCAAATCTATGGCATAGTGTCGACGAATGGAGCATTGGTATCCCTGCCGGTGAGCGTGTATTTAGCAAACTTACGGGGGCTGAACCCATTTCGCATTCACAGGCCGTCCATGATATCCTTTCAGAGTGCATCACTCGTGAGCACATGGGTGAGAAGATAAAACACTTCCTAGAGTCACGTGATAGAATCGAATTCCCACTCAATCTGTCCTTTAGACGCAGCGGCACGAATTTACGAGAGACAGAGAGAGGAGCAGAAATGTCAGCACTGACTGTGTCATAACGCTAACAATGATGCATGGCGCGCGGGAATAGCCATACTTCAGGCTGACATGATTGCGCGTGATACTATCGTGCATCGCGAATACGTTTCTACTCTTAACCCAGAATTTTCAAACCATGATGCTAGCAAGCATACACTTCTGGAAGTGTTATTATCATGCTTGCGTGTGCTTTAGTCCGAGATTGATGCAGAAGTATACTCTTTATTACATTACTGGAAGAATAAGCATCACCCCGAATACAGTCTTATTCATAAGGCGTAGGTACTCTAGGTTAGAGGTGGAGACATTAACCTTCTTAGAGGTACTCACCCTACTGAGAGACATGCACCAGGGGATGCTCCTGGTGACTGACCTTGAACCGGAAGAGGATCAGACTGACTATCGTGAGTTAGTGATAGATCTCGCCGCTAGACGATGGCAAAAAGATCTATGGCATCAACGGACGGTGACCTGGAATATGGTAACCAATACGGCGCCATACGCCTTGCGCAAAACATACGTTAATTTAGAAAAGTACATGGCGGCTAACGAGGAGCTAAGCGTTCGTCCAGGCATGCTGTATAGAAATATGTATATAATGGATTTATCATTTTATTAGTCTGGACCCAAAGAGTGTTAAAAAGATCATTATACTAAGCCTACAATGTTGGGTCTTGCAGGCTTAGTATTACAGTCCAGACGGAATGTGGCAGAACTAGTATTTGTATACTGGCCGCCTAATAGCAGGTGGTTTTAAGGTACAGAAATACATTTCTCAAACGTGCATAATACTAGAACACTACTGACGAGAGACAAAATTTCTCCAGTAAAATTAGTTCTGTCTATTAAGTCATTAGATAAGTTAAGAAAAGAAAATAAAAATCAATACTGATTACAATATTTCGATTACCTATGTAAAAAAAGGATAATAATATAGATGATTTACAATTATGAATGTATTGATAATAACATGCACAATTACAAACCCTAGCATGACTACAATACCCAAAATAGTAATATTTTAATCAAAAACAAGTTAAATAATAAATAAGCTCATGTACACAAGAGCAGAGTAAAAACCGCAAATAATAATTTCATTTTGATAATAATTGTTTGTCCATTTATTACCCTGATTTAACACTCAAAATTTTGTATCTATATTATATGCTTGTAGTTACGACGTAAACAGAATAAAATTTATTCAAAATTACAAAACTTATTAAAGAATACCTGATTACAAAACTTATTAAGTCATGCTTTAACTTGTTTAGGAAAAGCCTCTGTCCTGTGTAGAAAACAAGAAAGAAGTCCAAGCGGGTTATTTAAAAAAATGTTATTTAGAATATAATGTATTACAATTAAATATTTAACTTTATATTTACATTTAGAAACAACATTCATCACCCCATTCCCAGGGGCTGTTTTAAACAACTTCGCTTATTTAAAAATTTTCAGTTTTTGATAGACTGCATACTTTATGACTTGTAAAAGCATATACTTTGCCCCATGAAGGAAAACTTATTCTTTGAAGTGGAATAACTGATATAACTAGCTTGTACTTGTTCCTAGTATTTACAGAATATACATCACTATTTTTAATAAAAACTATTGTTGTTGTTTTCTAAATACATTAAATTTTCGTAAAATTACTAAACACTATAGTTAATATATTTACTTCTTAAAAATTTTCTTGAAAAGACTCCTTCGGACTTAGGTTGTAAATTGCTCTCATGGCTCTCTTTCGGCAAAACAAAGATAATTTCAATGTGAAATGTATTAACCGCATTGCAAGATCCCTTATGAAATAAATATGGTGTATCAAAGCGTCACTATCTGTTTGTTGTGGAATGCAAAATATAGTTGTTGCACATTTGCACCCAAGATAGAGAGAACTTGTAAATTTACTCCGTCCATGTCACAGACTGTTGCAGATATATTTATCCCAGCCTGAGAGCCTGGAAGTTATGTCAGCTATAACTGATTCAAGACCTGAAATCAAAAATTAAATATGTTTTACAGCCGTTGAGCTTTTATAATCAACTTTAATTTCAACTATTGAAATAAAATGAAACATCCTTGAACGAATTAACCACTGGACCCGACATATAAGCGGACGTGCCTATACCGGTCTTGTCAGTAACCAGGAAATTCTAGCCGTGGTCGTTTATTTTTGCGTCAGTCCCAAGCACTTATTTGTCAACAAAACATCTCCCAAAAATGACTAAATGTTCAGTTAAATGGTGCATAAATTATAGCGGCGGCAGCAGCACTATTTCTTTTCACTTGTAAGTACATTATTTTATTACATTTATGGTTAATCACAAAAATTAATCAAATGCAAAATAAAATTTTGTATTATCCAACTATGTTAAATATAGTCCATATTTCTATGTATTGTTGACATCTGATAACCATCACAAAATGGCTGCATTATACCATTCAGAACAGTGACTAAAACTGTGGAGTGAGTCAATTTGACATCGACTATTGCTTGAACATGTCGAAAAATATATCGATATTTGACGATATGACCGAGTGAATGATGATGTTATTTGTACAATACAATAACACTTAAAAATACTTATACATATAACAGTATCCTACAATCTTCGCAAAGCACTCCTCTCCCTGGACATCCACAAGTCGAGTGGGCCTGACGGAATCCCCCCAATTGTGCTGAGGACGTGTGCTCCAGAGTTGGCACCGGTTTTAACGCGTCTTTTCCGGTACTCCTACTCCCTAGGCGTAGTCCCAAAATCATGGAAGACGGCTTACGTCCACCCGATCCCTAAAAAAGGCGACCGCTCTGACCCGTCCAACTACCGGCCAATCGCCATCACCTCCTTGTTCTCCAAAACAATGGAGTCCATTGTAAACTGCCAGCTCATGAGGTACCTTGAAGATCACCAGCAGATTAGTGACCGCCAATACGGTTTTCGCCGTGGTCGGTCAGCTGGTGATCTTCTGGTCTACCTAACTCACAGATGGGCGGAGGCAGTAGAGTTCAAGGGGGAGGCATTGGCCGTTAGTTTGGACATTGCGAAGGCCTTCGATCGGGTTTGGCACAAAGCGCTTCTTTCGAAGCTCCCTTCCTATGGGCTTCCCGAGAAATTGTGCGATTGGATCACCAGCTTTCTTGCAGATCGGAGCATCAAGGTCGTTGTAGATGGTGCAAGCTCCGATTGCAAGCCTATTAATGCTGGTGTTCCACAGGGCTGCGTGCTATCGCCAACGCTGTTTCTTCTGCATATCAATGACATGTTGCATACCCGTAACATTCATTGCTATGCAGATGACAGCACTGGTGATGCTCTTTACACCGGCCGAGCCAATATTCCTCGGGAAAACGTCTCCAAGTGCCGGGACAAACTTGTGTCTGAAGTCGAGTCTCTGCTGGACAGAGTCTCGGATTGGGGGCGACTAAATCTAGTCCAGTTTAACCCCCAGAAGACACAAGTTTGCGCGTTAACCGCTAAAAAGAACCCCTTTGTCGTATCCCCTCAGTTTCAAGGCACTCCCCTTGTTGCCTCAGCCAGTATCGGAATCCTCGGCGTCGACATATCGAGTGACGTGCAGTTTCGTGGTCACTTGGAAGGGAAGGCCAAATTGGCCTCTAAAAAGCTTGGCGTGCTCAGCAGAGCGGGACAGTATTTCATGCCGGCACACCGCCTGCAACTTTACAAGGCGCAGGTTCGGCCGCACATGGAATACTGTTCCCATCTCTGGGCTGGGGCTCCCCAGTACCAGCTTCTTCCACTTGACCGCATCC